GAAACCCAAATTTAATAGATTGAATCAAGAACACAAATCAATTTGGTTACTGTGAGAAGATTTTGAAATTGTGTATTGGGTTTCGAAACTTTGTGAGTTGGTTGTGTAAAACCTTTAGTGGTGTGTTTTGTTTCTTGTAGGTGGTGTTCTTTTTCTTGGACTAATGATAGACAGGTTGCATCAGTACATGAGAGAGTTACGGGTACGAAGGAAGAGCATGGAAGCTATAAAGAAGCAAGGACAGGGTTTTGAAAGTGGAAAGGTTGGAGCTTCAGATGAAGTTAAAAAGCTGGAAGATGAAATTAAGGCACTATTGGAAAAGGAAAAACATTTAAAGTCTGAACTTGAAACAATGTCTAAAGAAGTTCGGAGTGAGGAATCGAATTCGGTTGCTCTGCAGAAGCAATCTGAAGGGTTTCTTATTGAGTTTAACCGGTTGCTCGAGGAAAATCAAAAACTACGAAATCAGTTGCACAGTTTGGATATGAAAATATCAGGCTCAAGCATCAAGAAGAATACTTGAAGCTACATCCAAACATTTTGAAATTTTCCAAGAGTTGCCCTTTGAATTGATTTGTTTCTGAGTTTGTTTATTGAAATCATGGGTTTTGGTTATTGTGTGTATTGTTAACACGTGAGGTGATTGCAGGGGAAAGAATACAGAACAAATATAGCTTTTTTTTCTTGTTTGATTGTAGAGATGATTAATTTTATCTTCGCAAATTGTAACGCTTTGCAGTTGGTTACATTATTAATAGAAACAAAATTTCCCCAGCTAGTTCTTATTTTCGTTCGTATATGTACATTCTTTAGAGGATAGACTAACTTATCGTTACAAAATTCGCATTGAGCGACTATGATTTTTGCTTGTCTTTTGGACCTGTATCAGAACCGAGGACAGGATCACGTCTTAGTATTCTGTTGCTGTTTGCTGCTGTCAGTAACATGACACCGAGGAAGATCAAAACCGAGATGGATGTGAAGATAATCATCAAGCCAGAAGCGACGTGGTCTTTCACCTCTTGCGCATATTGAACTGAGTCTAAAGCAAGAAAGGTGACAGGGAACGAGTAAGCCCACCATGCGACATTGAATCTTTTCATTGACTTCTTGAAAAGAGTTGGCCTACAGACCTGAAATGTTAAACAACAAAACCAACGTAAATTTTTTTGTAATACGGTTTTATGTTTGGTTCTTTGGTACTGAATCCAAGAATAGCACTTTTCTTGGTGTGTTGTAAACTTACCAGAGACATGAAGATGAAGAGAGAAAGGAAGAASAACATTTTCGCTACGGTATCAAATGTTCCACAAATACAGTTCCAGGCTAGACTTGCCGTGGCTGGTGCAGCAAAGAACAAGAAGAAAACTGGCCTTAGCGTGGTTGGGAAATTGTTTCCGCCTGGTAGGCGTTGATAAAGAGTGACAAAGATAACCAAATAATGAACCATCCCGAGTGAGAACAAGCACAGAGCACAGTCCCTCCAACCCATCTCCGCTGCTGCTCGTGCAGCCACTAGGTTTGCTATGACTGATACTTGGCTTGCTGGATTTGCCATTATCGACAAAAACCTTTTCTCTGTTGTGAACCACTGGCCATAAAGCTTTGTGTCGAGTGTCAAGACTGGAATAGCGAACAACCAGAAWAGTGTTTGGTACAAAACACTATGTGGYTCCATCATTGGAGCTGAYTGAAGCAAGAGAAGCCATGAAATGGATGGAGCGTAMAGATAGTTCACTCCAATAWAGTGCACGAACTCTTCCTTCACCGTGTCAAAKAAGAAAATACACTTGAAMGCATACAAAAAAMAGAGTGACACTTGTGTTGCAAGTGCTAGGTACCACARGAGATGGAACGCCATAGATGAGAGTTCGCTATGCATATAGGACATGCTCGCTGAACCAGGTGCGACCATTATCTTCCACAACAAAGCTTGGCTGCAGAGAGAGAGGCTTATTCTGAAATAGCCCGCATGGAGACTACTCAAAACGGACATCAGGACAACGGGTTTGGCACGACCGAGGTTAGTGTTCCTCTCTTTACTGCTCGATATTGGATTATCGATATTGATATGAATTTCTTGCCTAGGAATTTCCAAGCTTTCCATTTTGGTATATCAATGAAGGAGAAAAAAGTTATGGCTTTGTTTGGCTTTATGTTGTTCTAACCTTAGGATAAAGTTCATATATATAGGCAGAGTAATCAACTAGCTAATGAAGATTAGTTTAGTACGAAACTCATCGTCATTAGCTACAAATTGTGACCGTGAAGCCCACGTAAATGAACCCAAGGGTGGAATGGACATTTTACCACAAGCCCTAGTTGACAGCGATGACTATATTAGTCGCCGTCAACGAAGAATAGAGGCAGCGGTTCATCGAAAACAAAAGCAAGAGGAGAGAGAGAGAGACTTCGTTCAGAAAATTCAGTTACTCGTGGTTCGAGAGTGTACCGTCGCCAGAGGAAGAAGAGTCCACGCGTGACAGAGGGAGTGACCACCGATCTCAAAGGCACTGTTGATCCAAAATCCGTCGCCGGTGAAGTTGCATCCACCGCTGTTGTTCGCAGAGGAAGAGAAACTCAATTTTTGTCGCCATCAAACACCAAAGTCTCCGGTTCGTTAGGTGAGCGTGATTTGTGATCTCTATTATATAATTATGAATCGGGTTTGGGATGGCTATTTGGTTGGTGGTGAAACATGAAGCTAGTTACGTTGTGTGTTTATGATTGCTTGATGGCATGTTTGATAACTACAGAAGCTTTAGAAAATCTGTTGACTTCATTATTTAATTATACGTAGTGTCTGTACGTAGGTCGAAGATGATATTTTATTATTCATATATTAACCAAAACAATTTAATATTGAAATGGTGGGTTCATGTCAATTTGATCGTAGATTTAATTACGTAGCACACGTTATGTGAGGTAAAATGATATAGACTTAATTAGTTGAATTAATCTGGTGGATGAATTATATGAATTAATCTGGTGGATGAATTAGATTTCTAGTTGAATGTGCATGTGGATTCGTGTAACGTTAGTCGTCACGGCTACGGGGATTGGTGTTGGGCTATGGCAACAGCGATGTTGAGCCATAGTTCATTAACGGCTGACAAGCCAGAAACAACCGCGAGCGTTCTACGTGGCGGGAGCTCGACGTGAGCAAGTAGCCGACGTGGCTGTGGTGGTTCCAAATTCTCGTACCAACGTGGTTGGGAATGAGGAGTGGTTGGGTACCTATATGTTTAGTATATACTGGGGGTTATGTCAATAGTTAAAACTTGTGGTGATTAGTCTTGTTGTTTGGTTTCTGGTGGATTAAGTGATGCATGTTTTATCTCTAAATGAAATATTATCAAGGTTCGATGCATAAATGTATATTAGAGTTCAGTGGACAGAGGAGATCGTGTCACTGGGTAACTTAGTTACTCACGCCTCCTGTTATGGATACAAGTGAGCTTGAGGAGTAGCTTGATATGATCTCAGAGTGGTGCTGGTTTTCAAAGAATGCTAAGTGTTTTGGTTTTTATTAGAATAAACGGTTTTCTAAAACTAGTTGTTTAATTCATTAATATTAGTTAGTCGAATTGGATTTCAAAAGTTTCATTTGATTTTGTTAAACACTTGTTATGCAATAAATAAATATTTGAAGTTGAGATTTTAGAAATGGTTAATGTGGTTATGCTCGGTGATGCGTGACATGTCGTCTCGGCTAAGTTAGCAAGACGAGTGTTACAATTTTGGTATCAGAGCGAGGTTGCTACTCTCGTTCTGACCCGGAGAGCTGCTTTTAAAATTTTCAACC